GTCCTGCGCAGCACGGAGGCCCCCCAGGCCTGGCCATCCAGGGGGGGCTGGGGTGGGGGCATGGGGGCCAGCTGAGGCCTGGGGCGGAGGACACTGTACACGCCTGGGCCCAGCCACAGCATCTCTGTGCGGGGGGACAGCGCCCCATTCACGATGGCAGAAGCGCACAGATGTGGCCATGCCCTGCTCTCCCATCAGGGAGGGCAGGAATCTGCACCCGGCAGACCCTGGGGGCAGGGCTGGACCAGGCTGAGGATATGGGTCTGGAGGTCTCCAGGGTGGACAACGGAGGGCGAGAAGTTCTGGAACTGCACGGAAGTCTTGTTGCCATAGAAGAGATACATGCGGCCTGCGGGGTGGGGGTACGTCTCACTCCGGCTCCCCAGGCCCCGCCCCGCCCTCTAGTGCCGTCCCCAGAAGGTCCCCGGCGCACCCAAGTTCTGCCGGAACTCTGACTTGACTCCAATCTGCAGCAGCTGGTTCTCAAACAGGACCCCGTTGTTTTTGCAGACGAACCTGAGGACAGCGGGTGCTCGGGATATGAGGGGTGCCCGTCTGGACCCCTGCACCGTGCTCCCCGCCTCTCCCGGGACTCACTTATTCAGCAGTTCGTCGGCTTCGGGGATGGGAGGGCCGACGTCCTCGGGACCTGGGCTGAAGAGCAGAGCAGTGAGGTGGGAGTGAGGGCCGAGGGCTCGAGATAAAGGCCCAGAGCTAATGGGGCAGGCAGGGAGAACTGAAAGGTACCCTGAACACACTCAGAGGCCCCTCAAAGGAGCCCAGAGTCAGACTGACAGCCGCCTCTCTCAGGAAACAGGACCCTGCCAAGCTGCTGCCCTGCCCCTCCATCGGAGGACCCCAGCTCTCACGCCTGTCCAAGTCCTCGCCGCTGCAACTCATCAGGAAGCCCCTGACGAGAGTTCCCAGTCCCCGAACCCTCCCGGAGGACATGGGTCTGCCCCCCAGCCCCAGGCCGCCCCTTACTCAGCAGCTGGAGCCGGGTCAGCCAGCAGAGTCATGGGGCTCTCAGGGGCAGGTGGCTCCAGCTCGCTGGGCCATCCAATCCCAGAGCAGACAAGAGAAGACAGGCGTGGCAGGCAGCCAATCCCAGAGAGGCAGCGAGAGGGCCGGAGAGAGAAAGAGACAGGGAAGAGGGAAGGAGAGAAGGAAGAGCAGGCTGAGACCCAGTGACGGGGAGGGA